CTGGCTATGGAAGAAATAGCACCATATATTGAACACTGATTCAGCACATATAGCCTTCTGAAGAACCTTGCCTCAGTTCTTCAAGGTATTGTCACCTGGCTGAAGCTATAATTGAGTCTCCAAAAGGTCATCCCATAATTCTATCAAACCTGCTGCTGCAGGATGATGGAGAACATGGTAAGACCAGTGAATTCCATGAGTACGGGCCCATTGTCACACTTCTTTTGCTGTGAGGTGAGCTCCCTGTTCAGAAGTGATGCTGTGTGGAATACCAGGATGGAGGATAAGGCATTCTATAAGTCCATGGGTGGTAGTTTTGGCAGAAACATTACATTCAGGGAAGGCAAATCTGTATCTAGAGTAAGTGTCTATTCCAGTAAGAATAAAACATTATCCCTTCCATATAGAAGTGGTCCAGTGGAATCAATCTGCCACCAGGTAGCTGGCAGACCACCCTACGGTATTGGCCATATTGAGGACTTAGTATTAGTCTCTGCTGCTGGCAGATGGAGCACTCAGCAGTGGTGGTAGCCAAGTTGGCCTTGGTGGGTGGATGTCCATGTTGAAGAGGCCATGCATAACCTCTATCCCTGCCACCATGGTCACTTTGTTCATGAGCCCATTAGGCAAAGACAGGGGTGGCTGGGGAAAGAGGCAGACTGGTATCCATAGAATTGGTCATCTTATGCACCTAACTATTAAAGTCCTCCTTTGCTGAGATCACCTGTTGGTGGGCATTCAAATGGGACACATTTTTTTTTTTTTTTTGCCCATTCAGAGAAGTCTATTCACTTACCTCTTCCCGAAATTTCCTTGTCATCAATTTTCCAATCATGTTCATTCCAAGTCCCTGACCATCCAGCCAAACCATTGGCCATAGCCCATGAATCTATATATAATTGCATGTTTAGCCATTGTTCCTTCCAAACAAAGTAAACAACCTTGTACACTGCTTGAAGTTCTACCCACTGGGAGGATTTCCCTTCACCATTGTCCTTCAGGGATGTCTCAGAAAAGTGACTTTAAGGCTACAGCTGTCCACTTCTGGGAAACTTCTGACATCTCCCTGTGAATCTAGAAGACCACACACATGCATAAGGCTGTCTGTTAGCTCAGGGCTGTGTGTATGGTCAGGAAAGACCTGAGGAGCCCTTAAACTCTCACCATTGATTAACCTTGAGGCTCTGCACAAGCAGGAAGTGAAGCAGAGTTGTAAACTGCCTGGCTGAGTGTTGAAGCCATGCCCTAACATGTATACAGAGTTCCTTGGCAAAGACTAGGAGACTTATTGGTTCTAGGCATCTAAGAAATCTCTGTCTAATAATTAACTAACCACTAAGCTAACTGAGCAGAGACTTCAATGGACACACGTAACAAAGAATACAGAATTTACAGAATTATTTCAGAAAAGCCACTAAACAAATAATCACCACCAACAACAAATAGCAACAAAACTGACCCTAAAGAGGAAGGAAAATCTCATTTTCACAGTTGCCTCATTATATTAAGTGTCCAGTTTCAGCAAAAAATTGTGAGGCATACAAAGAAAATATGAATCATATACAGGAAAAAAAAAGGAATCAATAGAAACCATCCCTGAGAAAGCCCAGATGTTAGACTTACTAGATAAAGATGTTAAATTAGCCATTTAAAATATGTTCAAGGGAGCCAGGGGTGATGGCATGCACCTGTAGTCCTAGCTACTCAAAAAGCTGAGACTGGAGGATTGCTTGAGGCCAGAAGTTTGAGACCAGCCTGGGCAACATAGTGAGACCTATCTCTAAAAACAGAAATGAAAAAAATTAGCTGGGTGTGGTGGCACATGCCTGTAGTCTCAGCTACTCAGGAGGCTGAAGTGGGAGGATCATTTGAGCCCAGAAGTTTCAGGGTGTAGTGAACTATGATCACACCACTGCACTCCAGCCTGGGTGACACAGCAAGACTTTATCTCTAATAATACTTTAAAAAGGAATTGTAATAATCCAGAATATGTCCTCTAATCACAATGGAATGAAATTAGAAATTAATCACAGAAAGAAATGGGAAATTCACAAGTATGTGGAAAATAATATACTCCTAAAAGTAAATAACCAATTCAAAGAAGACATAAGGGAAATTAGAAAATACTTTGAGGCTGGGTGTGGTGGCTCACGCCTGTAATCCTAACACTCTGGGAGGATGAGGCAGGAGAATCACTCGAGGTTAGGAGTTCGAGACCAGCCTGACCAAGAGTGAGACACTGTCTCTACAAAAAACAGACAAAATAGCCAGGTGTGCTGGTCCATGCCTGTAGTCCCAGCTACTGGGGAGGCTGAGGCAGAAGGATCACTTGTGCCTGGGAGTTCATGGTTTGCAGTGAGCCCAGGTAACAGAGGGAGGCCCAGTCCGAAAAATAAAAAGAAAGAAAAAAGACGTCAAATCAATAACCTAACCTAAAGAAAAAGAAGCTATATGGTCCTGGGATTTTCTTTGTTGAAAGATTTTTTAAAATTACTAATTAAGTCACTCTCCTTATTTTAGGTTTATTCAAATTTTGTATTTCTTCTCTAAAGAAAAAGAAAAGCAAACCAAACCTAAAGCAAGTAAAAGGAAGGAAATAACAGAGATCAGAGTGGAAATAAATGAAATAGAAAATGAAAAAATAATAGAGAAAATCAATGAAACCAAAAGTTGATTCTTTGAAAAGATCAACAAAATTGAGAAAACTTTAGCTGGACTGACCAAGATAAAAAGATGACTCAAATTACTAAAATCAGGAATAAAAGAAAGAACTACATTTTTGTGATACTGTTAGCATCACAGAAATAAAAAAGATTATGTCAAACCAAAGAGACTCAAAAAAAATAAAAAGAAATAAAAAGACTTATAAGGGAATATTATGAACAATTGTATGCCAACAAAGTAGATAAGCTAGATGAAATGTAAAAATTCGTAGAAAGATGTATTATAGAAACTGACTCAAGAAGGAGAGAACAGAGATTCCACAGCTCATATTTTAAGTCAATTCTCCTTATAATTGGTTAAATTTTTAAAAGTTTTGAATTTAATTGTAGTAAAAATACATAACATTTACCATCTTGATCATATGGCACATTTCTGAATACAGCCTTTGCATGTGATGTTTCCCCCAAAATTTTCCCAAGGCTATTTTCTCATAACTCAACTCCTGATTTAAATGTTACTTCCTCAAAGAGGCCTTCTCTCAACACTAGGCATAAAATTTCTTTCCCATTTCTAGTCACTTTCTGTGTCATTACCCTGAAGCACTCTTCACTATTTGAAACATTTATGTTTATTGGCTTATTAACTATCTCCCTTTCACTCCCCACTAAAATATAAATTCTACCAGGTCAGGGACCTGGTCTGTGAGCTTTTCTCCCCATGCCTAGAACAGTGCTTTGCACATAGTTTGTCCTTAGGTTTTGTGAAAATACTTGCTAATCAATAAATATAGTGATTTCTAAAAATCCTCAAGCAGTTTCATATATCTCATTTGATCATTACAACTCTTCAGGTAATATGGAATTGCTAGCCCAATTGCACAGAGATTCAGAGAAGCTTCCGACCTAAGACCACAGGGCCAGTAAAATGGTAGTGTTGGGATTGCTGTGTAGGTGTACTGCTTTGTCCTATACCTTGACTCCAGTTCTAGGGCTAACTGTATTCTAAATTACTTTGCCATTAAGGAAGTGTTGACTCTGAAGGATAGTAGAAACAACCTGCATTTTTTTTTTTTTAAAGAGAAGAGTCTTGGGCGGGCTAGGTGGCTCAACATCTGTAATCCTAGCACTTTAGGAGGCTGAGGCAGGAGGATCTCTTGAGACCAGGAATTCAAGACCAGCCCAAGCAAGAGTGAGACATCCCACAACCCCGTCTCTAAAAAAAAAGAAAGAAGGAAAGAGAGGAAAGGAAGGAAAGGAAGGAAGGAAGGAGGGAGGGAGGGAGCGAGGAAGGAAGGAGAGAAAGGAAAGAAGGAAGGAAGGAAGGAAAGAAAGAAAGAGGAAAGAAAGAAAGAAAGAAAGGAAAGAAAGAAAGAAAGAAAGAAAGAAAGAAAGAAAGAAAGAAAGAAAGAAAGAAAGAAAGAAAGAAAGAAAAAGAAAGAAAGAAAGAAAGAAAGAAAGAAAGAAGAAAGAAAAAGATCAGCCAGGCGTGGTGGCATGTACCTGTAGTCCCAGCTACTCGGGAGGCTGAGGCAGGAGAATTGCTTGAGCCCAGGAGTTTGAGGTTGCTGTGAGCTATGATGATGCCACTGCGCTCCAGCCTGGTTGATAGAGCGAGACCCTGTCTCAAAAAAAAAAAAAAAAAAAGAGGAGAGATGGGGTCTCTGTCTGTCGCCCAGGCTGGAGTGCAGTGGTGCGATCATAGCTCACTGAAGCCTCAAATCCCTGGGCTCAAGCTGTGCTCTTGCCTCAGCCTCCCGAGTAGCTGGGACTACAGGCATGGGCCACCACGCGCGCCTAATATAAAAAATAATTTTTTTTTTTAACTTAGCTCATTGTAACCTGGAAATCCTGGGCTCGAGCATCCTCCCACCTCAGCATCCCTAGTAGCTAGAGCAGGCGCACGACACCACTCCCGGCTAAATTTTTTTAGTTTTTTGTAGAGACGGAGTCTCGCTTGTTGCCCAGGCCGGTCAGGAACTCCGGGGCTCAAGCGATCCTCCCGCCTCGGCACCCCAAAGCGATGGGATTACAGGCGTAAACCACCTTGTCCTGTTTTTAAAGTGCGCTCCTCTGAGATAATCTCATTCCCTATATTTGCTTCACCTTTTGGATCTCCACTACTATTGGCATCTGTAAATGTTCCCTCTCCTCCTTTTTCCTGTCTTTTTGCCCCTAGACTCGTCAGCCGAACACGTGTGACCTGTGTGTACAGCACAGTACTCACTCAGCCACCCTCCCCAGACCTGCCCACAGTAAGCCCGGCCCCTTCTTTTCCCGGAGCCCCGCCCCTCGGCCGCTTTCCATCGCAGCCCCTACGGATCTCGCCCTTCCCCCCTCGACTTCTCGCGAGAGGTGAGCGCGCCTGGCCGGACGGGAGGAAAGTATCTGCTCCGCTGAGGGGGGAAAGAAGGAGCTGGAGACAGATTGTGGGACCGAGCGCGGGCGGGCGGGAGGTGACGGAGCTATCAGCGGGTGAGTCCTGTTAACATTAGTTAATCCGTGATCTGACGGGAGTCTCCCCTTCAACTCTGGCCAGTCCCAGCGACCCAGGCTGGGGTCTCCCCTCCCAGTCTGTGTTGGACGGGGGCGCTGAGGCGGTGGCCGGGCCCTGTCTGAGGAAGAGGGTGGGTATAGACTAAAGCCGCCAATAGGAGAGAAGGACGCCTCGATTGGCGGCTATGAGCGCTAATAGGAGATCGCTTTTTTTACCTCGCGGAGTGCCGCCCCTCTTCTCTCCTTCCTCCCGCCTCCTTCCTTTGGGGGGAAGGCGGGGCCAGAGGCCTGAAGTGTGGGGAGAACTTGGGGTAAGTAGCCCCGGGGGGCACAGGGCGTGGCAAGGAGAGGGGAATTGAATCCTGAGGGAAGGGTGCTCTAGTGGAGCCTAATGGAAGGATCATGGAATGGGGTAGAATGGGAGAAAGAGGAGGCGTATTAAACTGAGTTGGAGACCCAGGGCTTGGCACTGGAAAAGGCAAGGGTAGGCAGGAGGCAGGAATGAGTAGGTGAGAACAAGGTTCTTGATCAGGTGACCCAACATGCATTGGGTTTGGCTGGAAAGATAGGTAGGAGTAGATCATTGGAAATGAGGGCCATGGCATTTCGATTGAATTAATAAGACTATCAGAGACGTGATATCAGGGCGAAAGTATGGATTTGGAGAAAGTTAAGTGAATGAGTTTAGGAAGACAATATGAATGGGCTAAGTCACCAGAAGACATGGCTTTGGGAAGGGTATGAGAGTTAAGAGGGGCAAGGGAAGTGTTTGGAAGGTCTTTAGCCTAGGTGTCAGAAACAGGCTGGGGCAGTGATTTAGGGCTTCTTGGTGGATATGACACCCAGATGGTGACCAGCTTACAAGAATGCTGGAATGAGGGTAGAAAAATTGAATACTTTCATCACTTCTCTGATTTTCTTTCTCCCTCTCTTCCCTTTCCCAAACTTTCTCTTCCAAAACACAGGGATATGGCCTTGGGACTTAAGCAGTCCAAGTTGGAGCCCCATAGGGACTTATATGTTGCTCTGAATTGCTTGTTAAGTTCTCTGACTGGGGTGTTTACTACCCAGGGCACCTCCTACCCAGATTCCCGTGTTGCTACTTTCCTAACTTTAAAAGTTTGTTTTCAACTTAACAGAGAGTATTTTAGTCTCTCTAAGGGTCATGTCATACTAAGTGTAGGTTTGTGGGGGTTGTGCAGAGTTTTTTTAGCAAGCTCACGATTCCTATGTTTAAAAATATTGCAGTAGTGTAGTTCTTGTAGAGACATCAGTCTTCATAGGATTTCTAAGCACAAATATACTAAAATGAAGTTTGTTTTGTTAAATGTGTCTTCCCCACTCATTCTTTTTTTTTTTATTTCTGAGCTTTAGGATAACTGTATATCCCCACTCATTCTTGGGGAAGAGTTGTTAAATGGATGGTTGCAGTTAGTTTTAGTTAGCTTATATATTTTTAAATGGTGTAAATAAAATAGATACATTTCAGGAAAGTGAAAAATTTTCAGTTTCTTCCTTTGTGTTCAGACTCAGAAACTAAAGATATGTCATAATATCTTAGGCCAAGGGTTGGGGAAATCAAACACAATTTGTACTTAAACATGGAGGATGTAAGGTAAGTGGAAGCTATTGCGAAATATAACATGTCTGTAAGAAAAGAAGCTAAAGAAAAGTTTGGCAGCTCTACTAGGTAGTCTTACCAGTTTGTTCTTAATTCTGTACAGAAAAGGGAGAGGCATTTGCCCTTTGTTTAATAGTTGTGTATCATTTAATAATGAATTGGAGTAATACAGCCAATTAATTCTTTGCTATTGCAGATTATTCTTTTACATTCCTTCTCTTCTCCTTTTACTTTTGAGAAGTGAAATAATGTCTGAAATATCAATAAAGCTATTATACGAAGAGAAACCAGAGCATGTAGTTTAGTATTAACCTTTGGTTTTCAGCAGCCAGTTGAAGCTTTTCTTCCTGGCCAGGACGTTGCCCCTACAGCACACTGAGACCGATTAATTACTGACCCTTTAGCAATAACTACTGAGCTGAGTTCCAGTATTTCACATTAAGAGCATTGCTATTGGACATTTAGAACATTTTCACAGTTTGCCTGGCAGCAACACAAAAAAATATCCAATGAGAGAGCAAAGTCTGTTGTTTTGGTCTTCTGTCTTAGAATTTGTGATGGCTTTGACTTGGGCAGTATTAAATGCAAGATTTTTTTTTTCTCACTAGTGTTACCATCTAGCAGAAAGCTAGAAAGTGATAACTCTGCTCATCTTTCAGCTTGTGAATCAAAGTTTATACCTTGTGGTAGTCTCACTGTTGTAACTTTTAAACACCTTTGTTTACCATGGCTTTAAGATGTTAATAGCTCCCGATACTGTATCTAGTTCTCTTTTCTCTCCTCACTTCCATACCAAAATGAAAATTGTTTTTTCAACCAACTCTTAAGCTGCTACTTTGCCTTGAGTAAAGTCCCTGGCTCTGCCTGAACACAGCTGCTCTGAAGTTGTCAGAAGTTATTGTTTTGTGCATGTCAAGACTGAGTTTTTCCTGGGCTGCAGTGGGAGGTAGTCAGTGTTACAGCAGCCTCCTATCCACGTCTGAAGAGGAGGAGCCTTCTCTTTGCAAGGAAGTTTTAGATGGAACAAATAGCACTGCCATGTAAATGTCTAATAATGACAGTTCTCTTCTTGAGACTAGTTGGCAGGATGGCATATAATTGTCCCTTATCCTTGATAAAGGTATTAAAGTTAAGGTACAGATGTTTCTTTGAGAAAAACAAATACAGCATTCATTAAAAAAGAAAAACTATTAGTTTCTTTTGTTGTTGGTTTCTCTGAAAATGGTTCTATGGTTTTGGAATTCATGAAAAAGTCTTCTCTTTAAAAATATGTCAAAGAGAACAGTTTTGTTGTTTTTGTTTTTTTTTTTTTTTTGAGACAGAGTTTCACTCTGTTGCTCAGATAGAGTGCTGTGGTGTCAGCCTAGCTCACAGCAACCTCAAACTCCTGGTCTCAAGCGATTCTCCTGCCTCAGCCTCCCAAGTAGCTGGGACTACAGGCATACCACCACGCCCGGCTAATTTTTCTATTTTTAGTAGAGATGGGGTCTCACTCTTGCTCAGGCTGGTCTCAAACTCCTGACCTCAAGTGATCCTCCTGCCTCTGCCTCCCGGAGTGCTAGGATTACAGGCGTGAGCCACCTCACCCAGCCAAAGAGAACAGTTTTTAAGCTTCTCTAACATTTATTTATTTTTAAATATTGTCTTCCCCTAAGAGGCTTTTTCGGATCAAGTATGTTCATGATATGTGAAAACACATAATGTTTGGAATCTCTGATCAGTGGTCTTTTAACTTCTGAATGCTCTAAGGAAGAAGTCCCCAATTCACAGTCACCCTGTTCCATTATTGTAGCTCCTCTTTTAGAACATTCTTTACATTGTGCTCAAGCTCCTTAGTTCTGTCATCTTAAGCCACAATAAATAAACCTAATTCCTTGCCAACATGGTAGGCTTCAAATATTTGATGACAGTTATGCTCCGTTAAGTCATCTCTTTTTGGAGTAAATATCCCAAGTTCTTTCAGCTATTTCTTAAATGACTTTTGTGTGTATGTGTGTGTGTGAGACAGAGTCTTGTTTTGTTGCCCCAGCTAGAGTGCAGTGGCATCATCATAGTTCACTGCAACCTCAAACTCCTAGGCTCAAGCGATTTTCCTACTTCAGCCTCCTGAAACACTACAGGCACGTGCCACTACACCTAGCTAATTTTTCTATTTTTTTGTAGAGACAGGGTCTCGCTCTTGCTCAGGAGGGTCTCGAACTCCAGGCCTCGAACAATGCTTCTGCCTCGGCCTCCCAGAGTGCTAGGATTATAGGCATGAGCCACTACACCCAGCCAAATGACACTGTTAATAAAGCTCAGGCTCTTCATCAACTTAGCTGCCTGAGTGTTTAGGGTTCTTTATCTAGATCTGAATATAACATCTCAGATACAATCTAGTCAATACAAGTTATAGGGGGGAGCACGGCTTCTATTTTACTGCACTCTATGCCTCTCTATTCTTAAAGCCTAAGATAACATTAATTTGTGTAGGCGATTTTTTAACGTAATTGAGGACTTTACATTTATCCCTGTAATTATCATTAGTTTGTTAGTTTGGTTTATTATTTTAGCTTGATAATATTATTTAGCCTCTTGATCATTCTTCATATCTTTGTATTATTGATAAATTTGATACATATGCCTGTATTTTCATTTTAGGTCACTGGTAAAAAAAAAAAATAGCAGAGGCATGCGATACAACATTAGTAGACTATCATTATGTTAACATTAATCCATTTATCAACCTTTTGGATAAATTTAGTTATGAATCCCACCTGCTGTTTTATATTATCTAACCTTAGAGGTATCCTGTTGAAATCCAAATACAGTATATTCTGTCTCTGACATCCCTGAGCTCCTAGGCTGGTGACTGTCACAAAAGAAAATGAAGTTAGATATTTGTTGCTGCTTACCTATCCTATACTAGTGTTCATATTACTGCATAATTTGCCAATTGTTCATAAATGATCTATTTAATAATTCATTTTAAAATATTTTGGGGAAATATCTATTTCACCAGACTGCAGATTCCATACTCTACCTCCTCTGCCCCATATTTTTTTTTTTTTTTTGAGACAGAGTCTCACCGTGTTGCCCGGGCCAGAGTGCCGTGGCGTCATCCTAGCTCACAGCAACCTCAAACTCCTAGGCTCAAGCAATCCTTCTGCCTCAGCCTCCCGAGTAGAGGGGACTACAGGCATGCACCACCATGCCCGGCTGATTTATTTTCTATATGTTTTTAGTTGTCCGATTAATTTTCTTTCTATTTTTAGTAGAGACGGGGTCTCGCTCTTGCTCCGGCTGGTTTCAAACTCCTGAGCTCAAACAATCCGCCCGCCTCGGGCTCCCAGAGTGCTAGGATTACAGGCATGAGCCA